GCTGGGAGTGGTGGCAGCTGCATTGCTGCTGCTGCTGCTGCTGCTGCTGTTGCTGCTGTTCTTCGTGCTTATGCTGTTGTGCTGCTGCTACTGGTCCTAGGCTGGCTGCTAATATTGGAAGAGTCAACTGCTGCTGCGCTTGCTGCTGTGTTGCTGCTGCTGCTGCTGCAGCACCAGGCCAAGCTGCAGGAACTGCAGGAGCAGAAACGCATTTATACCAAAATGGTATCCCTTGAAGACTCTAAACCCTAAACCCTAAACCCTAAACCCTAAACCATAAACTCTAAGCGCTAGAACCTAAACCCTAAACCATCAGGCAGAAGATTTGTTGGTGCAACAGCAGCTTCACTGCGTGCCAACACAGCAAACTTGTGGCACATTCCTGCTGCTGCTGCTGCTGCTGCTGCTGCTGCTGCTGCTGCTGCGCTTTTGCACCGCGGTTGCTGCTGATGCCGTTGGTGGATCCGCTGCTACTGCTCTTCATGCTATTGCTGCTGCTGCTCGTTGAGGCGTTCATTTGCTGCTGCTGCTCGTTGAGGCGTTCATTTGCTGCTGCTGCTGTTGCTGCTGTTGTTGGTGCTGCTGCTGCAGCTGGAAGAAAGGCGGTTTGCTTCTGTCTCCTCGGGCATAGTGCACGGGGAGAGCCTCCCTCCGGAAGCAGCAGAAGCAACTGCTGCTGCAGCAAAGCAGCAGCTGCAGCGGGAGCAGCAAACCCACCAGCGCATGCAGCAGCTGCTGTCAGAGCTGCAGACAGGAGTTGGCTTCCTCACTGAAAAGCTCACCAGTGCGCAGCAGCAGGTCAGCATTTTAGCTGTTGCTGCTGCTGTTGCTGCTGTTGCTGCTGCTGCTTTGGGTGAAGCTGCTGCGTCCGCTGCGCTTTTCGCTGCTGCTTCTGCTGCCGCTGCTGCAGCAGCAGCTGCTGCTTTGCAACAGCAGCAACCCGTGTGACGCTTGCTGCTGCAGCTGGGCTTCCTGCCGAAGCTGCAGCAAGATGCCTCCCTGCCGGATATTTTCTCTTTCTGCTGCACTGCCACAAAGGCACTGGTAGAAGCAGTGAAGTCGGTGAGCAGCAGCAGCAGCAGCAGCAGCAGCAGCAGCTGTCGAAGCAGCGGCAGCAGCAGCAGCAGCTTTAGGTGGCAAGTTGTGTTGTGCATACACCGTAGTGCAGCAGCAGACAGCAAGGGATGAGGTGCTGCTGCTGCTCTTCTGCAGTTGCCAAAGGAAAATACAACAGCAGCAGCTGCTGCAGCAGCAGCAGCAGGTGACGCAGGTGAAGACGAAGAGGAGAACAAGCAGCAGCAGGAAGAACCAGCAGATGAAACTGTTGCGGTGGCAACAGAAGAACCAGCAGCAGCAGCAGCAGCAGCAGCAGCAGAAAACAAAGAAGAGGCACCATCTGACGACGCTGCTGCAGCAGATGCAGCAGCGCCAGAGGGTGGGGAAACTGCAGCAGCAGTAGAAGATGAGCAGCAGCAAGACCCCTGAGGCTCTGCAGAAGCTGCAGCAAAGCTATCCAACAGCAAGAACAGCAGCAGCAACAACAAAAGCCGAAATGAAATTTGTGATGCCACGCGTCTAGTTTGTTACTATTCTGCTGCAGCAGCAACTGCTGCAGCAGACGTCGCTGCAGCACCTGCTGCTGTGATATATGCTGCTAGCCGGCTAATTGCTGCTGCAGCAGTTGTTGTCACCGCTGCTGTAGTTGCAGTCGAGTTGGCTGCAGCTGCTGCTGCCGCTGCAGCAACAGCGTGCGCAGCAGATGCAACTTTAGTTCTGTCTAGTGCTACAGCAGCTTCTGCTGCAGCAGCTGTCTTGCAGCAGCTGTGCTGCAGCAGCTTGTGCTGCAGCAGCTTGTGCTGCAGCAGCTGTCTTGCAGCAGCCTGCGCTACGGCAGCCGTCTTGCAGCAGCTTGCGCTGCAGTAGCTTGTGCTGCAGCAGCTGTCTTGCAGCAGCTTGTGTTGCAGCAGCATGTGCTGCAGCAGCTGTCTTGCAGCAGCTTGTGCTGCAGCAGCATGCGCTGCAGCAGCTGTCTTGCAGCAGCTTGTGCTGCAGCAGCTTGTGCTGCAGTTGCTGTCTTGCAGCAGCTGTCTTGCAGCAGCTCGTGCTGCAGCAGCTTGTGCTGCAGCAGCTTGTGCTGCAGCAGCTTGTGCTGCAGCGGCCGGTGCTGCAGCTGCTACTGCTAAACAAAAAGAAAACGTGGCTCTGCAGCCCTTGTTGGCTGCTCCCTTTTAGTCTTCATAATTCCCTCATAAAAAGCAGCAGCAGCAGCAGCAGCAGCAATGCATCAGCTGCTGCTGCTGCTACTGCTGCTGATGACCTGCCCCAGAACTCGAACGCAGTCATGCAGTTTGCTTCCAAGATTCCCTCGCGCTGTCGGTGCAGCAACACTCCATGTTGCTGCTGCTGCTGCAGCAGTTCATCAACCGCTGCTGCTGCTGCTGCTGCAGTGGCCGCAGCAGCATCCGCTGCTGCTGCTGCTGCTGCTAAACGCCGTGGCACCTTACTAATGCCAATGTGGCTGCAGCGCCCCTAAAATTCACTCCGTGCTACTGAGGTAGCGAGTTGGTCCCTGAGCTCGCAGTTCTTGTTTTGCTGCTGCTGCTGCTGCTGCTGCTGCAGTTGCAGTTGCTGCTGCTGATTCACCTGCTGGTGGCGCTGTGCTTCCTGCTGCTGTGCTTCTTGCTGCTGCTGCTGCTGCTCGTGGTGCTGCTGGTGAAGCTGCAAAGAATGCGACGGTATCTGCTGCTGGGAGTGTTGTGTTTGTTGCTGCTCCCGTTGTTGCTGCTGATGCTTCTGCTGCTGCTGCTGCTTTTGTTGCTGCTGCTCGTAGTTCCCTTTTTCGCCCCCATGCTGCAGCTGCTGGTCTTGAGCCTGCTGCAGCTGCTGACGCTCGCTACCCTGCACACTGTGGTGTTGCTGCTGCTGCTGCTGCTGCTGCTTCTGCAGTGGCAGATGTTGTTGCTGCTGCTGCCGCTGCTGCGTGAAGTGCTCATCGTCTGCGTCTGAGGGCAGCTGTTCCTGCAGCAGCAGCAGCTGCTGCTGTTGCTGCTGCTCCTCTTCCTGCTGCGGCTGCTGCTCCTCTACCTGCTGCGGTTGCTGAGAGACATCCTGCGGCCGTTTGTTCGGTAGCAGCTGCTCCTCCTGTAATTGCTGTTGCTGCTGCTGCTGCAGCAGCGGCTGCTCCTCGTGTAGCTGCTGCTGCTGCTGCTGCTGCTGCTGCCAGTGATGCGTGTGGCTATATATGTGGCAAAATTCAACGCCTAAATCCACTCTGCGGATGAACTGCTGCATGTACGCGTCTCCCGAGAGCTGCTGCTGCTGCCGTTGCTGCTGCTGCTGCTGCTGCTGCTGCTGCTGAGGCAGGTGTTGCTGCGGGCGCTGTTGGTCCTTTTGCTCATCGCCTTTATCCTCTTGCTGCTGTCGTTGGACGTGTGGCTCCTGCTGCTGCTGCTGCTGCTGCTGCATGGTTTTGCTGCCAGACTTTTTGGGGGCCGCTGCAGCACTAGAGCCTTCGCCTTCGCTGCTCGCCTTTGCTGCTGCCTCTGCTGCTGCACTATTTAAGCAACTCTGTTCTGTTACTGCAGCAGCAGCTGCTGCTGCTGCGGCTGAAGCTGTCTCTTCCGCTTCTGCTGCTGCCGTTGGCTCAGCAGCACTAACTGACTGTTGCTGGACGGGCTCGCCTGCTGCTGCCTCTGCTGCTGCTGCTGCTGCAGCGGCATCCTCGCGGGCCGCCATAGCAGCAGCAGCAGCAGCAGCACACGCCTTCTTGAACAGGGCCTCTTCGCAGCGCATGTACTCCAGCACAACCCACCTGCAGCAGCAGCAGGTGCAACAGCAGCAGCAAAAGGTTCGCGTACAAATCGAAACAGCAACAAAAACAGCAGGGAGAGCAGCAGCACCAGCAGCACCAGCAGCAGCGCCTGCTGCAGCACCAATGGCAGCAGCAAATGCAGCAGCATCAGCATCAGGCGCTGGAGGGTCCCTTAAGTGAGAGCAGCTTCTTCTGCTGCTGCGGCAAACTGTAGTGTGTCTGCAGCCAACGACGAAGCAACTACAGCAGCTACACCAGCAGCAGCAGCAGCAGCAGCAGCAGCAGCAGCAGCACCTGAAAGCATCTGCTCTGCCTAAGTCAAAGAGCTCTTCAATCGCCTTGGGCGATGCGGGTTCTAAAGCCATTTGGAGGAGCTCTTGGGTGTTGTTTTTTAGCTGCAGCAGGCTGCCGCAGCCGCAGCAGCAGTCGTCGCTGCTGCTGCTGCTGCTGCTGCTGTTGCAGGCGCCCGGGAGGCACAGCCGGCCTGCAGCAGCAACGGGGCCGCAGCCAAAGCTGCTGTCTGTGGGGTCGCAGTAGTAGTAAGTGAGCTGCTGCGGGGGGCAGACGAGTCCTAGGGGGCAGCAGCGGGGGCAGGAAGCAGCAGCAGCGGCAGCAGCAGCAGCTGCTGCTGCTGCCGCTTGCTGCTGCTGCTGGCTGCGCGTTGCGGACGCTGACGGGCGCAGCAGCAGCCAGCTCGCTGCGCTGCGGCTGCTGCTGCTGCTGCCTGCGGCGGCAGCAGCAGCAGCCTTTAGCCGCTGCTGCTGCTGGTGCTGCGGGCTCGGCGAGGACGGGGCAGAGGGAGCAACAGCAGCAGCAGCAGCCGCTGCAGCGGCCACCACTGTGCAGCTGCACGGTTCCTCCTCCGCCTCCTCAGCGCCAGAACCGCCAGCAGCAGCAGCAGCAGCAGCAGCAGCAGCAGCAGCGCGTGCCCTGAGGCTGCGTTTGGCCCTCAAGTAGGACACAATGCATGCATCTTGCTGCTGCAGGTCGGGGCTAATGCAGCAGCCGGGCCGCGTAGACAGCCGCACCGTCGAAGCAGAAAAGGGAATCACCTGAGTCCCGACACCCAACCACCAGCAGCAGCAGCAGCAGCAGCAGCAGCAGCAGCAGCAGCAGCAGCAGCAGCATAAGAAGCCCCATGAGCACCCGCTGCCACCCCGCCATCCCCCCCTCGCTCCCTACCCCTCCC